ACTATCACCACATCCTGAGGGAGTCAGTTCCATGTATTAACTATGTGCTTTGGGTAGACGTCATTCCTCTGGTCTGTCCTGAAACACCTGCCATTCAGCTTTAATGAAGGACGTGACAGTCACAGAAAGATGCCCCTACCCTTTTTCTCTGCATGCTACATGATGTAAAGAAGCAAACAGGAACTATGAGGTGGAGGACAGGGAAATAATGGGCACAACCTGTTCCCAAACCCCGAAGCTTATAAAAAGCATTTTAAATACAAGGATAATGGGTTCAAGCAGACAACAGTTTAGTCATCATTTTAAACTGAGTTATGGTTGATAAAGACTCAAATTTAATGGAAACAAACAACCAGGACATTTTATTATCGTTTCTGTGCAAAGGGTACCAGGCATCTGTCATAATGTTCACTCTTACAGGATCACATGCTGCTAGTTTATGCTATGAAGCCTTACATAATAAACCTGAACCAATACCTTACTCATGCACATTTTCCCTTTGGCTCAAAGCCTCCTGGGAGATAGGAAAAATAATAATTAAAAGATACTAACGTAAGAGCACGAGAAGAGTTATGCTGGGTCAGATCAAGGGTCCATCTGGTCTGGCATTCTCTTCACACAGTGGTCCACCAACTGCCCATGGGAAATGCAGGAGCAGGCCAGAGGGTTTACGGAACACTTTTGGTTGTGTACCCAGCAACTATATGGAGCTATAGATTCCATTTCCGATGGTGGTAGCCCAGAGCCATCAGGACTAGCAGCCATTGATAGCTTTAACCTCCATGAATTTGCCCAATCCCTGTTTAAAGCCATTGAGATTGGTGGCCAACCAGCTATGACCATATCTTGTGAAGGTTTTTGTAATAATTTAACAGTACAATATATGCAGAAGCCCTTCCTTTTATCTGTCCTGAGTCTCCAATCAGCTTCATGGGGTGATCCTGGTTTGAGTTTTATGGGAGAGGGAGAAACATGTCTTTCAGTCCTCCACACCATTCATTATTCTCTACACTTCTATCACGTTTACCCTTAGTTCCAGATGTTATAGAAACATAGAAACAGAGCAATTCAGAAAGGGTCTCCCAGGCCATCTAGTCTGACCCCTGGCTCCAGCCAGTTCCGCTCATGTAATCCCCAAAATGTGGTGATAACTTTGCAGAGGTGTTGCTCCAGCCACCTGAACATTTTACAGAGCAATCCAGTTTAGACGTTCATAACTTGAGATTGGAGGATTGCAGGCATCCTGTGGAGGCTGGAGGAACTGTGAAGCGAAGGTCAGCTCTGCACTCCTTCCGTCCTACAACTCAGTTCAAGGGCTGATTTTGGCCAACTAGCTGAGATGCTTGAGAGCAGAGGGGGAGGTTGCAGCTGCACAAGGATATGTTGCATCTTGGTGGTACCTCACTATTCCCCATCCCTCCCTCTGGATTGTTCCCCCAACATGGTCTCCAAGGTTGCAAAACCTTGGTATTCCTGCGCTAGACGCAGTGGGGAAGGTGCTCTGAGCATATAGACTCAATGAGACCGGAGCAATTTTCCTATTTTTTCCAAAACAACAACAGCCAACCGACCTATAGCTGTGTAGACACTATCTAGCAGTGATAGCATTGCATTGCTTTTTGCCCTTTTCTGCCCTTTCCCAAACTCAAGAATATCCTTTTTATGAGTGGGAGCCAGAACTGTACAGACTATTCTAAGTAGGATCATACCATTGATTTTTACAAGGGGAATATGATATGGGCAGCTGTATTTTCAATTCCTTTTCTAATCATGTCCAGCATCAGATCTGCCTTTTTTCACAACCGCTACGAATTACACATACCTCTTCATTCGTGTAGCAGCTTCTGCCACAGCTCCAAGGTCTCTTTCACAAACAGCTCAAATTCTAGCTGTATATACTTGAAGCTGGGATTTTTGCCCTAATGTGCATCATTTTATATTTGCTTACATTGAACTACATTTTCTATTTCCACATTTCCAGTTTGAAGATATCTTTTTGGAGCACCTTCTAATTTATTATTTTATTAATTTTATTTTTGGATTTATATCCTGCCTTTTTCCTACAAAGGGCTCAAGGCAGCTTACATCATTCTCCTCCTCCATCTTATCCCCGCAACAACAACCCTGTGAGGTAGGTTGGGCTGAGAGTCTGTGACTGGCCCAAAGTCACCCAGTTGGCTCCATGGCTGAGCAGGGACTAGAACCCAGATTGTCTGAGTCCCAGGCCCACGCTCTTACCCACTACACCGCACTGGCTAATCATTTTGTTTGTTTGTTTTAACCATCCTAAGTAGTTTGGTGTCTTCAGTAAACTTTTAAATACATTCTGGTCCCCTCCCCAGAAAGGTCTGCCTGGTGCCGACATGATATGCTTTCTGGTGCCAGGTTGAGACCTTTTTGTTTACCCAGTATTTTAAAGTTCAAATATTTTAATTATGCTTTTATTGCAGTCATGAGTGATGATGAAAATGATGATGTTGGGTTGTTATTATTATGATTTTACTATGTTGTATTTATTGAACGATTACTGTAAGCCATCCAGAGATGTGTAGTAATTGGACGGGTTAGAAATACCCAAATAAAGAAAAAAAATTTTACATCCTTCCAATAAGATAATTTATCATTTGCTCCTACTCTCTGTTTGTTTTTTGGGAAGTGATTGAATCATAAGGTTGTATTTCCACTTATCCCATAACTGCTAACTTTCCTTAGGAGTTCTTGGTAAGGAACTTTGTCAAGGTCTACCAGATTGCCCTTGTCCACATGTTTACCAACACTGCCAAAAAACTTTAAAAGGTCATGAGGCAGGAATTATCTTTGTTGAAGCCGTGTTGATTCTTTTCCAGCAAAGCTTGTCCTTCTATATGCTTACTAATTTTAACCTGAGTAATGCTTTCAGCCATTTACCCAGAGCAAGCATTAAGCTAACCAATATGTTATATCCTAGATCCCCTGAATCTCTTTTTTAAAACCATTTAAAGCATACCATTCTTCAGTTCTCTGGCACAGAGCCTGATCATAGGAAGATGCTACATATTTTTATTAGAAAAGCAACCATTTCATGTTTTAATCCTTTAAGAATTCTACGATGGATACCATCTAGGCCTGGGGATTTATTAACTTTGATTTTGTCAATACAGCTGAGAACTTCATTTTGTCAGCACTATTTGCTTCAATTTCTCAGACTCCCTTTCTGAAAAGATGAGTTCAGGGACAGGTTCTATATCTTTTGCAGTAAAGACTGAACAGTTAACACTTCCCTGAATGCTGAATAACTTTCTATTTCTTCACTGCCAAAGTTAAGGAATTCAGTTCTGGAGCCATTTTGCTACTTTTTCTCCCAGTGTGTTCAACTTGCAGTTAGGATTCTTCGTCCTGTTCATAATACTTGGAGTTTCAGTGCCTCTGGTGATGTTGTTATGCAGACAGGGGCCTGCAACCTATGACTCAAGGGCCACATGGAGCCCCCACGGTCTTAATTGTGACTCATGCACAAACAGAGCTGAACTGACCTGCTCAGACACAGATTTAGGGCCAGTCCCTAAATCTGACCTACTGACCTACTCCAGACCTACTAGGGTTGGAGGCCTCCATTTCAATTTGGAGCCCCATAGGTATGGGAAGCCATCTGCCCCAATCCCCTCCTTGCTTAAATAAAGTTGGAGGGGCCCCAATGGCTTCTGGTACTTCTGTTGCATTACATCTCATTGCAATAAAAGCGGCTTTTGCTGACATACACTTTGCCTCTTGCTGCTTCCCTTTTCATTGAACCATTCTGCCTTCCTTACACTAAAAGCAAAGATCCTTCTCTCCTTTGTCCATACATTCATTTTTAAAGGTCCTTTACACACACACACACACACACACACACACACACGGCGGGGGAGAGAAAGAGAGACAGGAAAGGGAGGGAGGGAGGGAGGGAGGGAGGTAAATGAAAATCAGCATATGCAATTTTGTGCATTTATACAAGTTGGGCCAAAAGTAGGTAGACAGTACTGATCAGGTCTTGTTTTGGTCTCTTAGGTGCTCAAAATGTCCTCCATCCAGGTGGCAACATTCCTGGAACCTGTTCCCAACACTGTAACACAAATTCCAGTTAGCACCAATGTTGATAAATGCTTGTGAGATGAGCTCCTTCAATTTGTCCACTGTGTGAGGTCCACCATGACCCACTTCAGTACAGTATACCTACTTTTGACCCACCCTGTATATTGTCCTGTAGATCTAAGTATTGGACATTTCTGGTATGCAGCACTGCCCTTCCCTTGCTGCTAATTTCCAGTTCCCAGTGATCTTGCTCTTGGTCACTCTTTCATCATGCTCATTCCCTTACCACCCTCGGTGTTCCTGATACCAACTGCACTTTGTGCACTTACACTAACAATAAAATAATGCACTGAATCAGATTTGCTGAGATGGCTGTCTGTGTATGCACCCCTGGATTAAAATTCTAGATTTATATCAAGTTTTTTATTATTCTCATTATTTGCTGTCAAGCTGCCTCCAACCTATGGCAATCCTATGAATGAATGGGCTCTAAATTGTCCTGCCCTGGACAGCCCTGCTCAGCTCTTGTAAACTCAGGGCTGTGGCTTCCTTTATGAAATCAGTCCATCACACAGCTGGTCTTCCTCTCTTCTGCCTTCAACTTTTCCCTAGTATTATTTTCTTCTCCATGAGACTTGTCTTCTCATGATGTGCCCAAAGTAGGACAACTTCCATTTCATCATGTTTGCTTCCAAAGCTCTTTATTGTAGGAGACTATTTGAAGGTTGGCATTGTAGAGATTAACTGGAGGAGGGGATGTATACTTATGATCCCTAAAGTGTAGGATTATTACAATCAGCTGAGTTATTGAGCTGATACCCAAGATACATTGAGTTACATACATATACAAGAGCATCACAGAGAAGTCATGGTGGTGGCATGCAGACACCAAAATCGTCAAAAGTTGCAACCTGCCATAATACCTTTGGTTGAATTGCTCCAACGGTTACCTTCAGAGTAATGGGATAAAGTCAAGAGATTGACACATGAACCACCGGCGCCAGATCCAAATACAGTTATTCTCAGCGGGTCGCCCCCAAAGAACCCAATGTTCTCACTAGTCCACCTCAAGGCCTGAATGAGATCAAGGAGGCCATAGTTTCCTTTAGCTGCTTGGTCTCCAGTGCTCAAGAAACCTGCAAGTTAAAACAGGAGAGAGAAAAGGAAAGGATTTAGAGCATGCTGCATTTCAGATTACGATTGTTTTGTGTTGCTATCATCAGGCGGCCGCTTTCTAATGTAACAGGAGTTAAGCACTCTGTAAATACATTGTGTTCTTTATCCACTTGGCAACAATTTACAAGTGACTCATCATTCCCACTACAAATCCTCCGGTGTTTATTATAATAACGTTATGCATGATAAATGATTGCATATATTACACAGGCTCTTTTGAGGAAGAAAGGCTGCTTTCTGTACATAACAGAGCACTAATGTCTCATGCAATCTGCTTGAGATTGTGTTTGGTCTGGGGTCCAAACCCATTAGCCCTAAATATGACTTATATTATGCACCAAGAGACAGGCAGAGAGATACACCTGGTTTAAGATTTTCTGTAAGAGCCCAGTGGTAGGTAGATCCAACCAAATAGTCCAGTGGTGGAGGATCACCAATCATAATTACTATTATTGCTTTCATTTCTATACCACACTGTAGCTGCCGTTCTCTGAGTGATTTACAACAATGCATAAAAGCTAAACAATAAAATGCAACACCAATATTGTAAAATCAAAGCAGCATTACAAAGAATTTGGAACACCTAAAATATGCAGTATAAAGGACCATGTAAAAGAGGTGAGACCAGAGATGGGTAAACCCCTCAAGCCCCCGGGTAACCGAATAAATCTTTAAATGCTAAAGGGCTATCTTAACCTGCTGCCACAAAGAAGGCAAATTTGGGTCCACAAGGTCACAGTGGGAAGGTTGTTCCGTAGATGTGGAGGCACCATGGATAAAGCCCTCCCACTTGGTGCCAACCTCTGGGCTTCCCTTGGAGGTTGAGCATCGGGTCCAAGTAAATCAAGGATCTTGTGCCCATCTCTGACTTACATTTTTTATTTTGATATATAATGGAGGCAGGGCGAGATCAGAAAAATAAAATAACGGTAAAAGGTTGCTGTTAGAAAGATAGGAAGCCACCTTACCCTGAGGGAGACCCTTGTTCTAGGCCTCTAACCTTGGGCTGTAGCACTGGCTGCCAGCAGCTCTACTCTGGAGAATGCCAAGTACTGAGCCCAAGACCTGCATGTTCAATGTGTGCTCTACCACTGAGTTAAGCCCCTCTCATCCTTCTCTTGCACACTTCCCATGATTCCAGCATTGTAACACCAAGTGGCTTCTTCTTGTGCTGTCTTTACCAGCAAACTATAATTAAGGATCGGAGGTGTGCCTGTGTGTGCAGAGGGAAGGCTTATGACATCAAGGGCCTGTGATTTAACCCCGTGCATAAGCACCAACCCAGAGCCCCACCAGTCAGTCAGTAAAAAAAGAATGGTGCAGGATTTGCTTCCACTGCACCCATGTTCCCAAGTGCCGTGCCTTTCATTTTCCAATGGAAAGAATTCCAACTCTTTTGCAGTAAAGGGATGCAATTCAGGACAACAATGCTGTATGGATTAAACCTGTTACTTCTCCTTGGTGACACCGGCTGGACTGAGGCTAGCTTTGTAGGTCTACCTCTCTATCTGCATAACCCTCCTCCACACAAACACACTCACTCACTCACATTCTGTTTACACTTTCCATTACCATGTTCAACCAATGCATGAGGACAGAAAGCATGCTCCCACCCCATGCCTGTCCACTCTCACATCTATCATCCTGTCCTTGTGCAGAGTGTCTCCTGTATCTATAGAAACTCACCATGCAATTAAGAACTCTAGAAAGTCAAGAACATAGCTGAGCTGAAGGCCTCCATGAATACAAGTACCTCACTTTGGACTGTGCAGGATGATGGATGTGACAATGAAGGACCAGGACAGGAGCTCTCTTTCTCCTTATGTGTTGACTGAACATGGTACAAGGATGCCTGAAAAAACATTGGTCTGCTCCAGCACAGCATTACTTACATTCTCATGGCTTGGACACTAACAGAACACTGAGATCCAATTCTATATGTTTCTAGGAATCTGTAAGAACAGTATCAGTGCTGAAGTGTTGGCATCTGGGCAGCTCCAGGGTTCCATCTGCAGGCCAAGAACTATTGTGGTGGTTGTAGGATTGGTCCACAATGCTGCTGGAGCCCTCATGCTCACTGCTAGGAGCCTTGGGGGATGAGCTATATTTATTTATTTATTTATTTAATTTGTTTGAAAACTGCCCACTAGGATCACGTTCTCTGGGCAGCCATTGCAGTAATAAAGGCCAATAAAATATTTCTGGATAAAATTGACACAATTTAAAGTATCAGGATAAAATTGCAATGCACATAAATAAATACAAATAAAGATATGATATGATGAGATGAGATGAGATGATATATGGTATGACATATTAAAAACTCTAGCTCTTCCTTCCAGAAGCTGCCTCAGCAAAGGTCTTCCAAGTGCTGCTGTGTGTTCCAGTGTTTGAGTCTGCCTGACCTTTGTCTGATCCAGTTTCTGTCCTACCTCATCTTTCCCTGCTGCCTTGGCTTGCCTTGCCTCTCCTGAATCCTGCTTCATTTTCCCACCTTAAGGTACTTGCTCCTTCCTCTGTAGTCTTACTAGTTATTCACTCTTGGCTTGTCTGTAACCATGAGCTCACCTTGCTCGACTATGTCTGCCTGGCTCCTAACCTCAGCCCGTACCTTGATTATGACTTGCTTCTGGATTCACTATTGGACAGTTGACTGGGATGGAGTCTACCTTGCCTTGGGTCCTGTTGCCTTGGTCCTGCTGCCCAAGTCCCAGACCTGGACACAAAGAGGGGCAGCTGTTCAAAGCCCACAATCCAGCCGGGACCACCTGACATGAATTCCCTGGAGCCACTCCTCCATGGCCCATTTTGACCCTCTTGCTCATCTGCATCCAACTCTGGTCCACACAATGATGGTGATAAGAAGGAAGAACAGTAGGTATCCACTGCCTATTTGCCCGCTGGCTGGCTGTCTAGCAAGCAGGAAAGTGGTAGCAACAATGAGAAAGAGATGAAGGACAATATCATCTGGTGGCAACGGTGATGAGAAGCTGGACTCCCTGAAAGGGGATCCATTGAGAGTGCCTTGCCCGGGACATTGATAAACCTAGAACATGCACTGGGTAAGAAAACTGCAGTTCTGGAACAATAGTATGTTTTCCACATGTGCGGAGAGAGAGACAGATAGACAGAGAAGAACTTATACTCTTTTTTCATAATTTAATATATGGGTGAAATTCCAGGTGATCCTAAACTTAAGATCTGTAGTTGGAAGCTTCATCTGATAGGATTAACTAACTTTGTTAAAGTGGTGCAGATACGGCTGTGAAAATTGCAAGTGTTGATCTTTAACCTTCCAGCTCATCAATCAAAGCCAAGAAGCACTTGGAATAAATCCCTCAACTTTTTCCAGAGGGAAACAGTCTGCAGGATACTTTAGAAAGACCAAACATGGGAAGACCTTTCATTAAGTTAAATTTTAGAAAGTACTTCTGTTCCTAACTGGGTTTAATTACAGAAAGTGAGGAAACAACCTTTAATTAAGAAGAGGACTGGACAAAATTTCCATTCCACTCTTTAATCAAAAAGGAGATGGCCTGTATACAATGCCCTTTTCATAATGGGTAATAGCAATAGCATCTTATTAACAAACTGCAATAGGGACTGGGAGGAGGAAATCTAGCATGGCATCAACTGCAGGCTATTTCTAGTGCATTCCTATGCATATTTAGACAGAACATATCCAAATCCCAGCATGGCTGGCTGGGGCATGCTGGGAGCGGCAGGCCTTTTTTCTATCTAAACCTGCACAGGATTGTGCCCTTAGAGAGTGATTTTATTTATTTATTTAAAATATTTATATGCCATCCTGTCGCAAAAGCCTCAGGATGGCTCACATAGAATTTTGTCTCATTCAAATACCTTTATGTCCTTGGCAAATAATAAAAGCCTGGTCTTTTGGCTCAAGCTATCTGAATGATTTAATCCTTCTTGCACAGTTGTGTTTCACGCTGTTATTGTGAATCAGCCTGATTTTTATTTCATTTTATTGAAGTGTTATATAAATCTTGAAACACACACACACAAAGTAAATAGATATTAATAAAAACTTTACAGACCTAACAGAGAGGGTACTTGGATGGGCTTAGCTGTCTCTTTGCATGCCCATCATTTCTTTTCAGTATTGCACATACATTCCCTCTTGCAAGGAATCCAAGGTGGGTCACAAGGTCCTCCTGCTTTCCAATTTATCCTCACAACAACCCTCTGAGTTAGCTTGAGCTGAGATCAATGATTGGCACAAAATCATCCAATGAATTTCATGGCCTGGCATGGACTAGAACCAGGATCTCCCAAGAACCTGTCCAATACTCTCTACTACACAGAACTTGCTATTCTTGCATTTAATAAGGAGGGAATCTTAGCCAGTGGGGTCCTGGAGTTTACATATTCCTCCTTAGGAAACAGTGTGATACCAGCTTCTTTGGAAGAGGAAGTGATTTGACTGTTCTTGAAGAAGTCTGACCTGAAAATAGAGGAGGACTCCAGGCTAGTAGCTAACTTCTTGAAATATAGATGTCTGCCAGAGAAGAACTATCTATCACTTGGCAAAAGATATCCACAGAGCTATACTTGAAGTTATAGTCTGTATATGAGGCATTTATTGGGCACCCGTGATCCCTCACAAAAGTTTGTGGGGCCTTTTCGCAATTTCACTGCCCTCCTTGTAAATGATTTTGTATACCTTAGCTCAGTCATCAATTCAAAGGGAGACTGCAGCCAAGAAATCTGAAGACTGAGACTTGGAAGCATGGCAATGAAGGAACTAGGCAATATCATCAAATGCAAGGCTATTTCACTGGAGACCAAGGTTAAGATCATCCCTACTGTTGTCTCCCAATCACATCTATGGGTCTGAAAGCTGGACAGTGAAGAAAACTGACAGGAAGAAAATGGAAGTGTTGAAACATGGTGCTGGAGCAGCTTCGACTGACAGAAAGAGGAGCAAGCGGGTTCTGGA